CCGTTTCGACTCTGTGGCAGGTACGTCGCTAATGGCCGGTCACGCCCGGCTTCGCTCGCGCCGTAGAACACCTCATAGTCGTCGGCGCTGTCGAGGATCATAATCCATCTGCCGTTTCGTTCATTGGATAGCCAGTTCTGCACAAGAAGCGGTATATCCGCCTTAGGTCGGCTCCGCCCGGCTAGTTTAACAGTGTCGGCAATCGTCCTAAAGCCTTCTTCGACGCGCGCCTGCTTGCCGGCATGGATCCAGAATATCCAGATGTCACTACCTGCCTCGGCAATTCGGTGGGCGAATTCGATGGCCAGCTGCGACTTGCCAACGCCGCCCAGGCCCACGAGCGCCACTCGGCCTGCCGGCACGAAATACCGTCGGTCCATCTGGTCTAGAATGCCTTCGCGGTTGACGAAATCGGGGTCGCGGCAAAAGGGGATCGATGCAAATGGCTGCGGTGGTGTTTCCGGTCGTTCTGAATTCGTCAGCCAGGATCGGCCTTAACGACGGTAACCTTACCTGGTGGGCAGTAGAACTCTGCATTAATCGTTCCGTGGTTTACCCCATTTTGCAGACCATGGTTCGATACACTGGCGAGATTAATCTCACCCATTGTCAACTTAGGGATGGATATCCCTCAAGCAAGCGAAATAGAGGAGAATAGAACGAGAAGTGGACGGAAAACTGTATGCCAGGGAGCGGGGTTATTGTGCGCTCTTCCTAGAGTTCTTTCAGCCCTGTTGGTTTGCGACCGAGAGGAGACGGCAGAGCCGGCTCTCAAATAGGGGGCACCGCGCCACGGCGCAATGCATGTTGCCCAATACCGCTGCCGCTGGCTGCTCTTGGGCCGCTGCTATCAACCCGTCGCCTTTCTAACCGCTCAACCGCCCAATGGCAAAGGCCGATACCCCATATCCCAGAGCAATACTCAGCCTGAATCTGCACATGCTGCACTGCCACGTCAGCAGACATGCAGCGTGGACAGTCCGCGGACGCCGCCGCCATCTAGCGATAACAGGCAGAGACCTGTCGTGTCGACGGGGTTGGCGCCGTCATTGATCTCCTGCCCGGTCTGTGGCCGGTCCATGATTTATCTGCGAAGTCGATGGGATGCCATTTACCGCTCGTCAAAGATTGAAAGCGTATATCCGCTATGGTGTCATTCGGGGTGTTGGGCTGGAATCCAAAAGTAGTGGGGTTTTCCTCATATAAATAAGTCCTCGCAAGAGCAGGACGATTGCAAGAATGCAGTCTTCAATCAGAGCGGACGGCATGGTCGGTGATGCTGTGGTGTGTAATACAACGTGTGTACAAACCAATTGAGGTTCGAGGCGAGCCGCTGCCTGCAGCCTTAGAAGTAGTCTCTAACTTAAGCAGTATGTCAGCAAGCTTGAGATACGATGAAGTCCTAGATTGGTGGTGGGTGAACAGTGGCTGTCTTGCAAAGCCTTAGGCCAATGATCGACAGGGAAAAAGGTAGTCGGTGTCGAGCCGTGTTGGTAGTGGCTATGATAGGCTGTATCTTCTGGTGGAGAGATGTATTTGAAGCTATATATTGGATGGTATGAGCGCGTTGGATGCCCGAAACGGGCGTTCGTAGAATTTGGAGGCGTTTTGGGCATTTTAAGTGTTTTAGGATAAGATGTGCAGCGGCAACCCCTTTTCCCGTATACCTAGGGTACCCGCGATCTTAGTTCGAGTTCTGCTCAGACGAAACCCAATCCCGAACAAGTCGCCTTATCAAGAAACGGGCCCCCAATATTCTGTCACGACCTCGAATGCCGAACTCGCCGGGACGCAGCCTGGCAATATTCTACCATACTGGTCTGTCGGTGGCTGGGGGATCCGCCCACTCGCCTTGGTCCGACCACACGAAAGGCGCGCGGCAAATATAGCGAAGCAGGCTCCAATGAGGAGATGAACCAGCCCAGTAACCCCTATGTCGAGTCAAGCAGTGGGAAAAAAAGAACTGAAGATGCCATTCTGCAATGGTTGTGGGAAGCTGTACGGATGGGTGAAGACAGTCATGTGCTGACCGGAGAGGAGTTCACCCCACATTTCGACGGATCATGGATGGGGGCTGATGCCACATGGAGATGGAACATGGAAGGCAGCACGCGCCGAGACTGTGCTCGAACAAGACGTACAAGATGAAGGCCTCTAACAAGCCTATGAGGGGCAATCCTATCGGCTGCTACTTCTGTTCCCGTGAATATGTTCCTGGACGGGGCTTCTCCGCGCATATTAATCAGGAACACAGAAGCAGGGGTATCTTCGAACAGCCGTTTCTAGGTCCAGAATGTTTGAAGCATGGAGCCGCGCAGGATACCACAATAAACGGGTATATCGAGTGGATATCCCACGCGCTAGAAGCGCACGGCCGAAATGGGCCGACCGGGTCTGAGTCTAGGGCCGTTCCTGGCAAGACATTGCCAGGAGAAGGGAAACGAAAATAACGGGATCGCAAAAGTATTAATGAGAGCAGTGGGGATAGCTCTGCTATTATCACTCTTGATCTAGCCCTTGTCAAATTAGAGAGCGAAATTCAGACCTCACGGTCCATGACCGTCCCAGCTCAGAAGGAGTGCAAGTTCAGCTCAGGTGAGAGGCAAGACCACCCTGGTCCAGCTAATATACGAAATCCTACCAACCCTTTCAGCGAAGCCACCGACTCTGCCAAAATACGGATGCTGGACAAGGAGACGCCCCGGTGGACCTCATCCACAAATTCCTTTTCACTATACAGTAGTGGAGAAGACAGTCTTCAAAGCAGCGACCTGAGCAGCGCCACCCAAATGATATCTTTACTGAGCAGCCCTATGCTGTTATCGCCTCCTCAATGTGACATCCAATTTGAGCCCTTGATACCAGAGGTGGAAGCTTTATATTGTTCGTCAAATGTTGATCTTGTGGCGTCGAAAGGCCTTGAAACTTGCGGTGGCGAGATCAGCAGAGCTAATCGTGATCAACCTCGGGGTGCAGTCTCCACCGACAACCCGATTATCGACTTAACCAGCGATGGCATATCCTACACAGATCCTATACATGTAAATCATGGGATCGAATGCTCGTCAGATAGCACCGGCGACGAATTCCACATGCTACCCACGGAGCGCACCAAAGACGTCACATATGACTTTTCCATACCCTCCGAGGTCATTCCAGAGGGAGCTATGTTAGAGGCTTTGGAGCTCCAGGCTGACGGGCTCTCTGCTAGACAGATGGATGGCATGGGAGAGACACGATCCTTCAGCTGGGAAGGTAGCAGCGAGCAGGCTCGAATACCCGTCGCTATTGATGGCGACAACCACATTAGCCGGGAAGGCAGCAGCAAGCAGCCTCGCCTACCCACAGCAATCGGCGACAACGAAGGCTCGTGGGAGGTTGAGATACTGCTGGCTAAATGGACCAGAGGAAGGCAAACAGTTTATCTCATTAAGTAGAAAGGATACCCCGACGAGGACAATTCCTGGGTGAGGCATCATGATATAAGCGACGGATTGGTGGACAAGTTCGACGACATGTATTCGAAGCTTGGAGGCAACCATTTTGGTGTGGAACTTCTCAGGAAATGTATACATCGTGGGAATGCTGAGTTTTTTATCAGATGGAAGGGATATCCGTAGTCAGAGAATGATTAGCAGAGGGAATCAGCTATAAACTGTAAGCAGGTAAGAGAATACGAAACAAATAGGAAAGAATCGTACTGAAGGAGATAGGTAAAGAACATAATGTTCATCAATAGTCCCGAACTGCTACATACCATCTGTTATCGTAGGCTCAGCAGGGTCATAGAGGACAGGACACCGGGAACAGGTAGCGAAGCAGAGGATCGGCAGTTGTTACCTCTGCAGTGACCTGAATGTAGGGTGTCCTAAAGTTGTAGCACTTGCTTTGTATTCTAGCTTCCGAACAGATATACCAGATTTTTGACAATCCTTGTGTTCTCTATGTACACTGGGGTAACGGTCCGCCAGCAGCGGCCGGGAGGAGCGGAGGGCGTGCAGCGTGTGCAGCGAGGTCAGAAAAATCCTCTATGTATTCAAGACAGGAGTATACTGCTATTTAGATACAGAAGAAACTGTCATCGCCCTCATCAATCCATCGGCATCTGCTCTTTCTCCCAGTCAATGAAGCAACCGGTAAGAAGTAACTGATCTTCTATCCAATAATAAACCCAGAGGGTCCGAATATGCTTTCAGTTCTGTCACAGCAAACTATATAATCCTTTGTAACAGGGCATCTTTAGTTGATACCGAAGGAACAAAAAGCATTAGTTTAAATTTTATTGTGTCAGTAGGGTGGCAGGGGTAGCCGACAATAACTTGTAAAAAGCCGACTATTAGGGGCAAGGCTGGAATCAAGCTTAAAATAGACCGGAATGGTCCCGGTTTCCGGGTGGCAGCGGCCGGCAGGGGCACCCTTGCTTCTCGGCCATTCTCGTGTGATGTCGTTTGTCCGGACTCGGGATATCAACTAAGCGGGCTGCGAAGGAGCATGGATTAAAGGATGGGATTTCGCAACGATAGTTAGCAAAGTTGTAGTCATTTTGGGCATATCGTGTTGATGGGATGAAGCCTTTTGGTGGTAGGATTCTCGGGTTGGAGTGTGTTGGTATTGATTGTCATTTGATGGAGCTTGCGGTAGAATGTTGTCTGGTGGGTGTATGCGTGAGAGAACCCCGGTCAAAACATCGACAAGCCTTCTGTTTGACTAATTCAAGTGGTCAATACAGGCCTTCAAGTCAACTTGGAAAGTACCATCAGAAAATAACACACCCACCAATCCGTGGGCGAGTGCTGATTCCCAACTTCCACAACTTGTATTCGCCGTGTTTGGGAGAACCGAGATAGCTGGTGGGTGACTGGACAGTCTCTAAAGGTAAAGGCGCAGGAAACAGATCAACGGGAGGCATTCACCTCTCCTCGAAATGATGACATGCGTTCAGCCCTGACATGGCTAGCCATAGACATCGGCCAGCTCCTCTGCTGGAAGCAAAATTTTTTTGGCAACGGTGGGATTCGAACCCACATCTCAACGCTGTTTTGAGAATCAACCGCTTCGGGAAATCAAACGCTATTTAAACAACGCTGTGCTCTACCATTGAGCTACGTCCGCCTTCTGGTTTGGTTTTGGGACCTTTAGGACTGGAGTTAGATATAAGGGAAAATTCGAGGATATGGGGGGTTATATGTGTGTCTCTGCAGTGTGTTTCTGGGTGTCGTGGCGACGTGGGTGTGGTGTGATGTGGGAGATAGTTTGGGAGAGAGTTTGGGAGGGATGATTGAGGGCCGTGATAGCTTCCTTAGCGTCATTTGGGTTTGGGGGCCTTTGTGGGGCGGGGCATCGAGCCTTGTGGGTACTTTGGCAGGGTCACGTGCCAGACCTGCCCGGACATGTCGAATTCTCAGCACCCAGACCGGATCACGGTCCTTTGGGCCTATCAAGTGGCTCATTATGTTCATATAAACGAGTATCATGTCCATACGATAAACAAGAACACGCTAGGGAATACCAACGTAGACATAGACATAGACACATACCGGGTTTGCCGGTGACTCTCCTCGACGGAGCCCCCTTCCTCCACACCTATAACATCCTCCTCTCCGCCCCTCCCATCCTATACCTCCAAACACAGCACACGCTCTTAGCCTCACACCACTTCTTCACGTCCTGTGCCGAAACCTCCCCGTCGTACCCCACCCCGTCCAGAGCCCCCGTGTTCAACCATGCTGCGAGGTCCTCCACGATGATGCTCTCATACATCAGTATCTTCTCGTGGAAGCTCGGGTTGGCGGGATCTGTGGAGGGCGGCGCGGAGGTCACCGCCTTCGTGATCTGCGCGTATAGGGAAGACTCTTCCGTCGTCGGGGGTAGCGCGAGGGAGAGTGCGGAGTCGTCTCCGGTGGAAACGTCGTGGGTGGTCGGGGAGGAGAAGATGGATTCTGGGGAGGAGGGGTCGGCTTCGGAATCCGAGTCGGGGATTTCGAGGACGGGGGCACGCTTTCGGGGAGGGGTTGATGGGGCGGGCTTTGCAGCAGGCTTTGCGGCGGGCCTTGCGGTACGGGTCTTCCTCGGAGGTGACGCAGGGGCCGGAGACGCCTGTTTTCGGGGCCGCCCTCTAGGTTTCTTGGCGGATATAGCGTTGGCAGGGGCTACGGAGGCGGGTAGAGGCGATGCGGATGCAGTCTCCGATGCAGGTGTAGAGGCGCTATTCTTCCGCGGGCGCCCGCGAGGTTTCTTCGCGGGTTTCGCGGCGGGTTGGGTGGGAGGGGGCATCTCAGCCGTAGCCGCAGCTGGAGCGGATACCTCTGTGGTTGCCGCCGCCGCCGAGGCGGTGGAGTAGGCCCTCACCCCCGATTGGCGCTCGTATTTGCTCGACCAGCACTCGTCCAGCAGGCTAATCATCCCCGCGCGCCTCTTCACGGGCTTGAAGCCGTACGCGGCCACTTGTCTCGCAAGCTGCGCGTCCGTGTAAAGATCGAATTTCGGCTTCTCGGGTGCTATATAATTTGGCGCCTTTGTAGGGGACTCCGACTGTGCGTTTGACAGAGGGGCGGAGTTTGAGAGAGTAGATTGGACATCGTAGATGATTGCTAATCGCTTCTGAGAGCTCGGTGGCGGACTCGTTGAGGTCATGGAGCTTAGTAAAGGGATGTGAGTGGTGGCTGGAGCGGATGATACAGCTTGCCTTTCGGAGCTGGCTTGCGATGCAGCCATGAGCGGGGGTTCCATTACCGCATTGCTCTCCGTCGAAGATTTCGTCACATTCGCACCGGTTCGTACATTAGGCACGCTTGAGGTTAGCCTTTGCGACATCCTCGTGATGTTCACGTATCCGAAGGGATCAGAATCATCGGATAGAATACCGCTACCGGATGGAGAATCCTGAGCCAGATCAATCACCTCAGGGTGTAGGAGGTCGCCGTCAGCATCGCGGGCCGCCGCATTCCAAAGCCTCGGCAGTGCTTCCGCCGGCTGGATGGCATCGCTGTTGATCGGCGTAACATACTCTTCCTCCTCGATCACCGCCATAGTATTCCTAAGCCTTGGCAGCTCACAAACGTCCCGGTCCTGCTCCCGCACTAGTTGGCTTGATGTGCCGAAGACGAAGTCCTGCTGCGCTACTTGCTCCAACGCAGCCTCTGGCGGAAGAAGAACCATGCGTGGGTCGTCTTTCTTTTTCGGCGCCCTTGGCTTTCGTTTCGTTGCCTTGGACTTGGCGGCCTTTCCGTTGGTGCCGACAGGTGCAGCGGCAGGTGCATCTGCCGGCTTCGTCGGTGGGAGCTCCGGTTCTTGCGGAGCGTATGCCGCCGTCGCCAGCCCGGTAATTGTCCTGGCCTTCTTCTTCGGCGCCTTCGTTTTCGTCGGGGACACTTCGGGGAGAGGGGGTGGCCCCATGGAGTGTGCGGAGTTCGCGGTATTCGATGTATTCGATGTCGGCACCATCTCGATGAGCTTCCGCTTCTTGAAGGCGGCCTGCACATCTCGTGACTCGGCGGCTAAGAGCGAATCGTCGCCTAGTTCGTATCCGTACGTCTCCGTGAGACTCTGGAAGAATTCCCGATCCCGTTCTACATTCTGAGGTCTGCTTGAGGATGGAAGCTCAATTATGTCCGAGGAGCGGGACCCGAACTCGATGAGGGTATCCTTTGGTGGCGGGGTCCAATTTACTCTTCTCATTACGGCCGTCTCGAGGTTCAATGGGTCATTTACGTTCTCGGGCGTTTTCGAACGGGCGGGTTCTTGTGGAGGTTTGAAGTGTCGGCTAACAGATCCAGTCTGTTTTCTGCGGGGCTTTGTTTCTTTCGGGGCGGTCGCAAGTTCGTTTGGAGAGTCCTCTCTCGAGGTGGAATTCGTGGAGGTTTCTTTTGCAGACGCCTTTTCCCCGTCTCCCCTCGCACGCCCTGGCTTTTTGCTGGCGGGGGCTTTCTTCGGTTTGGGACCTGCCCGTGGAGGCGGCGTGCCCGAGTCGATGGGGGATATCTCTACTAAGGATGTATCGGGCGCGTCAATCGGGGAGTCTTCGACTTCGAAACGCGCCCCTCCAACCGGCGAGGGTTCCTTTCCCAGATCATAGCCTAGGCCACTTCCGCCTCTCGTGAAGCCGCCTGCGGTGCTTATCGATTGCGAAGGAGGTCGAGCGTTGGCCAGGTTGACTCTCTGAGAGACGAGTTCTTCGAGGGACGGGAAATCGGGAGACGACGAGCGCCCTGCAGCAAGGTCGCGCCTACTTGTGAGGGCCGGCGACGAACTCAGAAGAATGGCATTCGACATCGTGAGCGATGGTCGGCGGGGTGGCGGTCGAGAGCGCCAAGCGCCTCTCACAGTCGTGGCACGAAACAGTGTGGAGGAGTGCCCTCTTTGGGGGTCGGAACAATTGCGATAAGAAATTCGACGATGCAGAAAGGACCCTGATCGCAGTATCCAAATGTGGAGCTGCTTTAGACGCAAATGATGATAGCGTCGGGTAAAACTCGTAAACAGCGAACACGGATTCCAAGCACTACGCGACCCTTTCGCGCGGTCACCTGACACTACTGTCCCGCTCTTTCCAAGTGGCGCGCAGCCCAAGGGGCCACCACTTTTCTCACGTGACATGACACCCAACTTGCCGGAAACGGGCGAGCCCTCCGCCCCGCACCAAAATTCGACGTCGAAATACTTTCCGAACCAGCGAACTTTTCTCGATCCCCCGCCAGCCAACGTCACTCAACTCGACACACGAATCCCCCCCGTCAAGTTCACCACCCCCCAAACTACCGCCAAGATGGAAAACGACAAGGGCGAGGTCGTCGATCTGTACGCGTTTCCCCCCCTCGGACTCGAATTGGACCCTCCCGGCAGGAAAAAGAGAGAGAGAGAGAGAAACGGAATTGCTAATGCGGAGATTTTTTCTTCTTGAACAGCTACGTCCCCCGCAAGTGCAGCGCCACCAACCGCATCATCAAGGCCAAGGATCACGCCTCGGTACAGATCTCCGTCGCCAAGGTCGACGAGAACGGCCGTGCCATCCAGGGCGAGAACATCGTCTACGCCCTCTGCGGTTTCGTCCGGGCGATGGGCGAGAGCGACGACGCCCTCAACAGGCTGGCTCAGCGCGACGGGCTTGTCAAGAACGTCTGGAGCCCCATCCGCTAAAGGATTGGAGGTGAAGGATGGCTGGGGGAAGGGTTTTGGAGGCGTACGAGGTATGATTTGACAGCTGAGTGGATGGTGGGGGGGAGAGAAGGCGGGGGTGCGTGGGACAAATGCTAACTTTTTTCTGTCGACAGGATTATTATGCTGAGGCAATGAGGGTTCTGTCATAACTGGAATTAGAGTTGGCGGGCATGAGACGACCAATTCTCGGCGTCTGGTTTCTTAGATGGAAATGCATTTGAAGCCGTTGACCCACTGTCCCGTTCTCTTCTTGCGACCACAAAGACTTCCTCGGCATACCTTTGCGCGCTTCGTCTACATACCTTCTTCGGTGGAGGGTCAAGGGCTACAATCAGCCTGGCCCAGCATCGGGGAGGATGGGACCATACCAGACGATGTGGACTTGATATGCGCCCGTCTGAACGCACAGGCGATGTGATGTTGAGTCTTCAATGCCTAGTATTGGGTCCGTCCATCCTACCGGATAGCCTTGGCAACCTTATTTCCCGATCAGGGTTTGTGGACGAATTGCGGGGCATGGCATGCCAAGTGAGAGGACTGGTGTGAAATTGTACCCAAAGGAGCTCTGTTTCCCAACCCGTCGTTGAATGTTGTGGCATATGTTGTGTGAACCCCCGGCAAGAAAAAGGTCCCCGGACGGCTCGTAGGCCTCTCATGACCGGGGATTCTGGGACTACTGTGATAGTCTCCGCGCCGTAGATTGATGACCCCGGCCTCGAAAAAGCGGCGATAGCAGAGGTTTATATCGCTGTACAGATACGGGCCGGACATCACCGCAGGATCTTGAACCCTGCTACACACGTGATTTTCGCCTTAGTGTATGTCCCAAGTCAACAGCCTCCCTTGATCTCCTCCAAAGCCCAGGACGAGTCCTGCTAGGCGCTTGCGCCGAACGCATCAACCTCGGGCCAGATGGAGGAGGCATGCTTTCTTCGTTCTTTAACATGGCTCAGACGC